GTGCAGCTGGATATGAAGGCCGACCGGCAGCGCAGCCAGCGAGCGCCCGTCACACGGCCGTCACAACTGCACGAGTCCAGGCGCCCGCGCAAGCAGCGCAAGCCTCCGCCTGGAGCCTGCTATGGAGTCACTGCCAAGCCCCCTGGTTGGTCCCGGTCCAGTCGCACGGCCGTCACAACTGCACGAGACCAAGCGCACGCTGGCTGCGGCGTGCTTTCTGGAGTCTCTGCCAGCCAAGGCCCCGCCGTACGAGTGCAGGGCCCTGCACGCGCCTCCGGCGCCGCCTGGCTCCGCATGGGAGTCACCGCTGGCTGGAGCAGTTCCTGGAAGGGCGGCCGTGACGCAGGCGGGGGGCGGGGGGCGGAGTGAAAGGGGTGATTCACCAGGCGTCACCAGCGTCACTACAGTCGGGCTGATCACGGCCGCTGACGGATCGCCCGCTCGCCCGCCCGCTCGCTTGTCGCCATGCCAACCGAGGCCGCAATCTCGCCCAGTCTCCGGACCACTTTACCTGTCCGGGCTTAGCTCCCCGCGCCCCACGGCCGCCAGGCCTCTTGTCCAACCCGTTCTGGTCGTCGCGCGGCTCATCCCTGCTGGACTCGAGGACGCCAGCGCGCATGGTCTGCTGGACCCGCTGGTGCTCACCTCTGCTGCCGGGGCGCTGGAGGGCGGCCCCCCGGGCGGCCCGGGCGGCGGCGGGTGGCCGTGGCGCCGCTTGGACCGGCGGTGGCTGGCCCTGGCCGTGAGCCCCGAGGACGCCCTGCCCAGGGGCTCGTGCGCGGCGGCGTTGCCCATGGGGGCGGTAGTTAATCCAACAGGCACGAGCACTAGCACCACATCACTGAACCACTGCACTGCACTGCACTGCACCGCTGGACCGCGCTACGGGGCGTATCTCATGGGCGAGCCGCGCCGAGCCGCGCATAGCACCGGACTGGACTCGGCCGCACGCCGCACCACGGCGCACCACACCACACCGCAGGCAGGCGGGCGAGCCGGCCCGTGAGGGATCGAGAGAGAGAGAGGGACGGCCGGGAGAGAGGGGCCCGCAGGGGGGCCGACGGAGAGAGCGGCACGACATTCCGACGCATCCCGTCCCCGGCCGGCCCGGCCCCGCCATGTGCTGGGCGCGGCGCGGCTCGGCACGGCCCGGGCCTGCCGGTGCTGGTTCAGGCATTGCATGGCCTCACGAGCGAGGCGGTACGTACGCCCCACCCTGGCCGCGGGAGCGACAGACAACAACCGGTTTGAGCGGCGAGACACAAGTTTCTCCCTACCCTCTCAAGCCCTTGCTCCCCCCCCCCCTTCCCTCGCTCCCGAGTCTTCACCCGATCGGTCGAGATGGAGGCAGCAGCGCCAACTCCACGAAATCGGCCCGTTCAAGATGTTTTGCCGATATCATTCAAAACGGATCGGTGGAGAGGCATCACGACTTTCTTGGCAAGAAGGCTGCCAGTTCCGTGCTACTGAACTTTCCTGGCTTCTTTTCAATCCATGTCCGCTCCGCGATTGCAGAAGTAATCATCCACTCCTCTCGTCCTCTCGAGAGAGAACCCTATTTGAACCGAATAACTTAAGCACTTAAGCTATGATTCGATTCGTGCGCTGATTGGAACGTCGGCCATAAATAGAGCCACTCGTCAAAACACCATTCGACGTGTTGACATGCCATCAACGCCCCCCTCCCCTTAACCCCTTCTTTCTCTCCCTGGATTCCAGGAGAGCCGTTCCAGGTCAGCCAACAATAACGACCCAGTGTGAGCCGGCTCGCCTAATGAGCTCTATCCGTGGGAGTGACTGCCCTAAAGCCCGCTCCTCTCTCTCGCACACACATTCACTCATTCTAGGCTTCACTCTCATTTATGCTCCCACGCGCCCCGCCCTGCCCCGCCCTGACGCTCCCTAATAAGCCCAGTCCCTGCTGCACCCAGCACCGCCGCACCCACGCACGAATTTTACCGTAAAATGCTGCTACTTTATGTCCCGTTCTTGTTCCGCCCTCTCTGGTATGCTAAAGGGCTCGGCCCCCATGCATGAGCCGCCTTAAGGCTCAAGACATAAACATTTCTGCATTCCTTTACAGAACTCATTTCATGCGGGTTTATGTATGATTTAATTTCCTTCTTTCTAAATTGCCCTAAGGGTGTGTAACCTTTCACGAGTTGAGGCTCGAGTTTTATTGTTTGTTTTAAGTCCTTTAGTTTTTGAACGAGTTCTGTACAGTAGAGCGCATTTCTGAGTCCTTACGGCGCCTCCCCAAGGAGTCTCAGTGACGCGAGAGCACTCGCCTCGCCCTTCGCACAGCTGGGGACCCCCCC